AAAATTAGGATTGAGATCAAATATTTATGTATTATTGTAATTGTATTGTAATTAATTATATCAGGATGATCCAGGTATCAAAATGTAGCTTTTAAAGCCAAGAATCTGAAAATGTAATTAGGTCATTTTGACCAAATTTGACTTAATCCTCATTTCGATATGATGGCTCATATTTGGGAAATTWTTWTTTTTTTTCGTCCACTCACATATAGTCCTGTATTTTTGCTTTTTGGCAGGTGAAGGCAGCAGGTGGGACCAACAGCGTTGCAGCCAGTCAGCAGCAGCAGCAGTTCCAGATCATCCAGGTGCAGAACTTGCCCAGTGCTGGCAGCGGTGTGCAGTACCAGGTCATCCCTCACCTGCAAACCGCCGACGGACAGCAGATCCACATCAACCCGCAGCCAGCCTCCATCGGAGCTCTGTCTGAGCAGGTTCAGCTTATCCAGTCCCCGAACTCAGGCCAGACCCAGGCTATCCTCCAACCTGCCGGTCAGCAGACCATCCTGCCAAGCACAGCCAATCAGACGGTCCCGCTGCAGATCCGCCCCGCACAGTCCTTCCCACTCCAGCTGCAGACGCTGCAGGGCTCGCAGACTCCCGTAATGACCACKGTACCCATAAACCTCGGCGGCATGACCCTGGCTCTGCCTGTCATTAACAGTGTGGGAGGGGGCGGGGCTGTGCAGCTCATCCAATCAGCAGATGGCACGTTCTCCGTTGCTAACGGGAACCAGCTGGTGACGACAGCGGTGTCCGGAGGGGCTCCTGCTGCGACCGGGTCGACGCCGACAGCAGCCGAAGGCGACGTCGTGACCGAGGGGGTTCAAGTGGTCTCCGCCGGACAAGAGGCGGGATCGGCTGACCCCAAAGTCCAGAACAGCGAGGCCGACTCGCAGAGCCAGAACCAAGCGAACGGGCTCCAGAGCCAGTCGGACTCACCGGGAAGCATCCAGCAGGTGATCGTGGGCCAGGTGGGGCACCAGCTGGTGCAGCAGATTCAGCTGCAGCCCCCGGCTCAGAGCCAGGCTCAGACACAGGCCCAGCAGCAGCCCCAACACATCCAGACCCTCCAGCTGGCCCCAGGACAAACCCTGCAGCCCATCCAGGCCCTGCAGAACCCGGCCCAGGTTCTCATCCGCGCTCCGACCCTATCCTCCAACGGTCAGATCACCTGGCAGACGCTGCAGCTGCCCGGGGGGGTCTCCCTGCAGGGAGGTCTGGGGACAGCTGTGCCACAGCAGCTGACTCTGACCCCGGTGGCAGGGGGGACGGCGGTGGGCAGCGGCGGGCTGGTGTCCCTGAGTGGAACTCCGCTGACGCTGAGCGCAGCTCAGATTAACCCAGGTTCTGGGGTGCAGACGGTCAGCATCGCTGGACTGGGCACAGCTGGAGTTCAGGTTCAGGGTGTACCTCTGACCATTACTGGTCTACAGGGTGAGTACACAGTATTTAGATTAATTATTTGATCTTCTATAATAAAGTTCAAGTTTTCAGCTGAAATATTTTCATAATCTGCAGTATAACACAGTTCTTCCATTTTATTATTAAAAGCTAAACTACACAAGCCTGTTCTGTTCCTGCTCAGTCAAATAACAAACCTGTTAATGAAAGCTTTATGCTCGTTTTCTTTTCTTTTTTTTTTACTTCCTCCACTAGTGTTTCTATAGTGTGTTGTAGACACTATAGAAACATTGTAGTAACTATGTAAAATATATATTTTACATAGTTACTATAATAAAGGTTTCTACAGTTTAAAGCAAGTTCAATTCAAGAC